TCAACTTCTGCGTGACGCACTTCCTCTTCGGCCTTTTTCCGTTGACTTCTGGTATAATAATATCTTGCTTTTCTATTTTACTCAAAGTCTGTAGATCTCTGTTCAAGATGGCTGTATACAAATCGTGCTGCAATTGAGTGATTGGAGTATAGACGATAACCTCTTTCTTTGGCGGAACTTCCAAACACACGTCACTTTTAAGTCGACGCAACATGAAGGGTTTTAGGATCTTGCGTAAGCTGGCCATTAAATGTTTCTCGGATTAAGAAACAATTGCGAATCGCGCTATCTGGCTGTAGCAGTTAGCTTTTGCCTGCCACGATTATACCTCCCACCACTCAGCCAGGATCCGCGGAAATTCTTCATTCTGATGGGTGCATCTTAAATGCTTTCCATTTAAAAACTATTGCGAATTTTGGCAAACGGTTTGCGGGAGGGTACTCGGGGAACCCCCAGCCATCACCCATTTTCGGGTGTGAAAGTAGTTCTGGGACACCCTGTATAGAGAAGCTACTATACATACTAGAATAATATAAGATAAAATAATGATCATTCTTTTTAAATATTGATTGTAACATTTATTTTAATTAAATAATATTTTGTTCACGTATACAATTACCATTGTATTCTATTATTTATCACTAATAATGTCAAAATAAGTATTGGATAATTTATGACAAAACTTTACAATATGAAAGTAATAGTTCATTATCACAGGAATGTACACATAAGCGATTTGTAAGTTATTTCTTTTAAAACTATAACCTTCGTTTAAACATGTGTGGTACTCGCAGCTGCTAAAGTATCTATTTTACTTTCTAGAACAATTAGATGATCCAATCTCTTATTTCCTATAAATGGTTACTGTAGATACATGCTCGAAGGAAGGAACATTGTGTCCTTCAACCATTTATCTCGGTTGATGCCAACATCCACGCGTCATTTGGAGTTTCATCGTTTACAAATAGATACCTCTTATGTAGCTGTTCGTCTGTCTACTTAGCTGGATTCATATGTAGCTATCAATGTCGTATAGCTATGTAACTATTCTGTCTGGCTGCCTCATCGAATACCCTCTTCAACGGTAGGTTCCTTTAGCGTAGCTTTTCTTAGTACCGGTTGGTTCATCGTCGTAAAGCCAAGTCATTTGCAAATATTTGCACCAGCGGAGTTTTTACACGCGTCGGAAACGAGTCTAATGATTACGCGAGGCGACGAGGAAATTTACCTCGTTGATAAGCACTTGCGATTCCAGTACCTTCCACTTGCGATACCAGTAAGCACATACCTTCGTTGAATTTTATATTCCTTTGTTTAAATTAAACCGTTTGACAGGTGTCTTTTTTACTTACTTATTGACGAGTGTGACATTTGCCGCCCGAGCAAAGCGAGGGTAGGAATCACCAACACGAATAGGACTCACCAACTTCCCGCACTTGTATCATAATGTACTATTGTGGTTGACTTCAAAGGTGGGAAAATTAGTGCACTCCACGGTAAAATTGAATGTTGCGCACGAGATAATTCGACTGTTGTAGATGACTTTTTAAATTCGATAAGGCAAAAGTTACAGTTTTACACTACATATTTTTAAGTTTCAAAAATTTCACTCTATACTTTAGTAAAAGCTGACGTATCATGCTTACTTTTCAGTATGTTTTCGTAAATTGTTCTTAAATATATAGGTAATATGTTGTGAGATGCCACGACGTCCCGTGGTTATCGTGAGTTTCACGGTAATTTTTAATGAAAATTTCTCGCCGTACAGTGTCAGTAGAATATAAAACAGTTCTCGCTCAAATTTCCTTTTCATGAATTCAAATAGTCTATAACCGTAAAGAATTTCAATTGATATTTCAACAAAATAAAAAGTTCTTTGACGAACGAATTTGACGTGACCCGAATGATCTTCGAATTACGCTCGAAAATTGTGACATGTGGCACTCAGGATGTTTTTGAATTTTATGGTGTTTGGGTGACTTCTAACCGCAAACAGAACGTGTATAGTTTCCATCAAATGACATTTCTGTAATATCGAATGCGCAGCTATTCAAAGCAGCGTTATTGAAATAAAATGACTGTAATAAGGAATAGTGGTGGGTATTATTTTTGAGGCGCAATAAATATCTATTTTGACTGATTCGTCTATTTTTAATTATATACTAATTATAATATTATACATATAATTATAATAATTATAATATTATACATATAATATAGTTAATTATTATAACGCTATTTTAGGGCTATCCACAGGTAACGTAATTCTATATTACGGATTCAATCGAGAATATCCTGACCAGGACATCTAGAGAGCAAACCGCAATCGTAACCGTACGCCCTTTCCCAAATTAATCAGAAACCTTCTGCTTCGGCTTCTGCTGAATCACTCTATATGCGCGCATGTACAGAGTGAATAGGTCAAAAACATAGAAAGCCCACTTTTCTCTTTCTGCCTTTCACAAATGTATTCAAATTTTTCTTAACTAAAGCTTTATACAGGGAACTTGAGTGTAACAAGGAAGTTCATTCGACTCGTTTACGGGTATGGAATACCGTGATTATTTCGGGAAAATTTTGAAAACATGAAGCAGACATAACTTTGTAATACCATCTGATGGAAAAAAAATTATTTAATGATATACTCATGAGATAATCAAAAAACTGGGAACTCATTGCTATAAAATATAGTAACCTCGTGACATCAGGATTTTTAGCAGTCATTACGGTTTCATGTTTAGGCATACTTAAAATAGCATACGGTGCGTATAAAACGGTAATCCAGAAGCTACAATTACAGATAAGGTTTTATAATTTCAACTGTTTACTATATCAGTTTTTCTAGTACGGTATAGTAATCGCTTTCCATGGCCTATAATGATTAAGTAATACCGTTAAGTCACTTTCCATCATGCAATATAGTAATACATCTGATATCTACTAATAATATTCAAAATAATCTGAAAAATTTATTTTTATTTGATGAATAATAATTTTTGCTACAATTACTCAGCTGTAAACTAAATGTTTTATAAGATAATTTACTATATTCACTGTGTAGCAATTCTCATATGTACATATGTAGCAATAGCTATTTTCGATAATTTTATGATTCTAAATTGTACTTTATGCGGTACTTCTTCACATATGCTCTAACTTTATCTACATCGAAAATATTACAACTCCTTTTAAAACATGATATATACAAATAGGCACTGTAGATCACACGTTGATAAAGATACTAAACTGACACTATGATTAAAGTCATGATACAAATAGACGAGGTGTAGCCACTAGCAGTTCTGCGCATTTGAACAGTGACGTCACTGGACCCTCTGTTTTCTGATTAGCTGACTTTTTATGTATGTCCTGTAGTCACGCCAACACATCAGTTCCATTTTGAGGGGCCATCTTTTTACGAATCGAAACGTAAGTAGATCTACTTAAAGTGAAACTGATGTCGTTTTGAACATGACGTCAATGGACCCTGCGCCATCTTGACCAAACCATGATCGCTAGTGCTTATACCTCGTCAACGCTTACCCGCCACGTTACTAGTTGAACGCTCATATCAGTAGAAATACAGTATGGTTTTCACGACTGTTTCGTTCGCTGTACTGAGAATAACTAAGACTTGACCACTGAAGTCTGTAATGCTTTTGTTACGCAGGGCCACCAAATAAAGCACAAGTATTTGCTAACCACCGCATAAGAAATACCACTGAAGTGCAAATATCACCTAACCGTATCGGAAGAACTACAATATTTTTTTTAGGAGCTATTATAAAACTTTTTGGGAAAAATTGTTACTCGAATGAACCGAAAAGTCAATCCTGAAAACATTAACAAGTATTGCATTACGCAGTATATACTGCATGATATCTGATCATTTTTGTTTGATAGTAAGTGATAGTCTGATAGTAAATTGAGACTGGTTATATTTTCTATTCATGGTGACTCATAGAGCACAAAACATTCAGATACGCTTTAAAAACATCGCTCAAATATATCAATCTGCTTGTTACGTTTCAGTAACGTATCTGAAACATAGCTATATGTAAATGCTTAGTGCTGTACGGGTAGTGACTGTTGCACGCAGTAACAAAGAACATGAACCTTTATCGAAAATAAATTTTTAGAATAATATCAATTACAATACTTCTATTTAAAAAATCCTGACTATAGTATATAGTAATAAATGCTGGTCACATCTTAAATAATTCTTTACGTATAATACCAGTCTACCGATTTCATACGAGTCTTGTAACTTTCCCATAGAATATTGTACTTGGTGCTATACTACTTAAACACAATTTTATTCGTCTATCGATACTGTAATTCATACATAAATTTAATTCTATACAATACGTCGAATTTACAAATCATTGGTTATTCCGACAAATGTTAGTACGAATTCAGTTATTCGTACGTACTATTCATTTTATTCATATTCCATTAGAAGACCAAAAAAAAAATTGAACATTGTCTTGGCATTAGGAGATTGACATGATGGGCACACAAATGACGCGTCATTTTTGTGATGGCACGTTCCATGACACGATAAGGTATCACTATTCTATGAATGGTATTGTTGAATGGTCATAAATAGATTACATCGCAAAGACTAACAGAATTGTATTGATTCTAAATGCGGTAGAAAATTTCTAGGTAATTCGAAATAACACAACACATATTTTTCTAGTGGAGCGGAAATGTGACGCCTCATTCAAGCCCACCTTCCGTTCCCTTTATTTATATCCTAATGTATTATAATATGTGTAACAGACCGTCGTGCTCCTTTCATACTCGTGTTAAAAAATAATTATAGATGCTACCTGAGATGCGTTAACAATATCGGGGTGCAATTAGAACAGCTATGTAGAACTAACAATAAGTTAAGATTGTTCCACGTTATTATTAAGGGTCTGGATGGGCAGTCCCAGCTGCGACCAGTAAATGGACATACTAATCGGAGTCAAATGTAAAGTCTTGTCGAGTGGCATAAAGATACAAACAATTTATTAGACTGTTAATATTCGTTAAAATACATCAAACATACTATTTGCCTAATTGCATAATTATTTAATTGCAACCAAATTTTTTAAAAATATATATGTGCAGGTATTTAATATAACTTTTGGTGCTGGGAGCGCGATTCGAAAATGCGGTTATCAGGATGCTCAAAATGAGGAGTATGATACTCTACACACTTTTCTGGGTGAAAATATTTATTTAATTTCAATACAAGGTATTTATTATTGACTTTATGAACACTAAAGATGTCTGAACTATGTTAATCCTATTTAACAACTGTAATTAATCACTCAAGTATAGTTTTTATTATATGCTCTCTGGGATCTACCAAGCCTGTTTTAACCCTTTGAAGCATGCATTTATCCTTGGCCACAATTCACTTAAAATTTTGTACTCGGAGGTTTTTGATGTTGCTGATTACGAATCCGCATTCAAAATTTCTAAATTCAAAATGGCGGATGGAAATATACTTTAGGGTGTTCTGTATCAGTATCTAAATCCTCATTTCGATTTTATTCATAATTTAGCCAGAAACGATTTTTTTTTTTTCAATAAAAAGCATTTATTTCGACAATCATTTTATTTATAATATGTTAGCAAATGAATATTGATGGTTGCCTAGATTTTGTTTATACTTGTTCGTCTTAAAGACATTAGAAAAACTGAGTATTTGATGCCAAGAAATTATTTAAAAACATTGACAACCGAGGGGACAAAGGTAGGACAATCTATGTCCCGCCGTGCCGTGAAGTGTTAACAGTTTGTATAATATAATTGCCTTTACCCCAATTCGTCATTCTTATACCTATCTCTTTTACAATCTACTCACTGAACAATCAACTAAATTTATAAATGATAATTCAATTGAGAACTATAATTGAATATTATAATTACGTTTCGCATTCCATTTATGCATGAAACTAACTAGGAAGACCGTTCTAAAAACATCGTCCATGAATACCAAAATTCAAACTAGCTTCTAAGTGATGATTACTGAGGAAATCCCCGATAAATTTATTGCAAATACCCATCTAATTCCTAATTCGAGCCTAGCTAGGCATTAACACGAAAATGTGCATATTAACATGAATGCCTGCAGGATAAAGCCCAACCAGTTAGGCACTCGTAAGGGAAACTCTTATTAGGGAAGTCCTGTTAATATCTGTAAAGGAACCATATCTTCTATGGGCTAACACTATGAATTCCTACACGGGTAGTCAGATGTACGTAACCTTTTTTCAGTTTATCTTCATCTTTATATAAATCTAATTAATTGCAACACCTCATAAAATAACAAATTAAAACAAATGAGCTATCGTACATTTGTCATCTATTTGCAATTTGTTTGAATTGTTCCAGAAAATTCATAAACACGGTACATATCTTACAACATATCTGCAACGACATAATCCAAATATCACCACCGAAACAGACTGAAAACATCAGCGGTAAGTTGGAAGATAATGTAATAAAATAGAAAGAAATCGAGAGTTAAAATATGTAACCCGATCAGATATTTTATATTTCAAAGTACAGTCAAACCACAGTCCCTGTCCGTTACCGGGACTACAAATGTCAGTCCCTGTTCAAAAATCACGTGAATTTTGGCCAATGAAAATGCTTGAACAAGGTTGTAGAAATGAATGTAACAAGTGGCGCAAAAACTTATTTTTTTTCCACTAGCTTCTACGCGACTAATTATATTTTCGTGATTACTTGCAAAAAAACGTTTGATGTAGTACTTATCTCTAGACTAGACTCGCAAGATGTAACCAACCAAAAAGGTGGAGGTTAGGTGATATACGTAAATAAGACACGAGGTTTTCGTTACGAAATTGTACGAGACTTTCGTAACGACAGTTACGAACTGGACAGCAACTGAATTCACGGAGAGGCTGAATGGACAGGAACTGAAGTTTGCCTGTAATTGAAACTCGTAGATTAGTGTAAAGTGTCTATATCGAAGCGGGTTTTAATTCGGGTCGAAAAATTTCAAATGCCTCCCATAGTCTTTAGAGAAATTTGGAACTTGGTATGTATGCCTTTGAAGTTACCCGGAATCTACATTTAACGATAATTTCACCGAACTTTGTCTAAAAGAAATGCAAAGTATGGTGAAAGCTGTCGTTCCGTAATACGCTTTCTTGCCCGAGCGGTGGCCTTGTATTAGTAAACTCATCCACGAATGCTGCCTATTCATTGAATTTCTCTGCTTTATTGTGATTTAGACGTCGTAATAGCATAGCTTATCAAACTCAGCATATTTTGGAACTTATATTTAACTTTTGAGTTGATAGTTCTAATTATTCAATTCGTCAAATAAATTTGACGATTATATTGCTAATTACCATTTTTGTATTCGAGAAATTAAAAATAATGTTAACCTGAAACTTCAGCTGTGTCCATTTTGTATTTTAACCTTGAAAAATCACTATGTAGAAATTTTGATATTTATATTCACATTAGATTCATCCACCTAATTCGGATCAGAGACGATATTACAATTTTGAGTCTATATTTTACATTTCTGCTCAATTCAATTACGTTTATAGCTATTTGTACACGATATACCTGAACCATAAATTAATTTGAGACTAATCCGAAATAAGTGAACTGATCTTAATTCAAATTAAATGTAGACATCTTCAAACATTGATGTTTTCGAGGTTTCAAGTAAAATAAACGGAATATTTCTTTAAAAATCAGTAGCTAAATCCCTATAACATTATATGATCAATTGGCTCATCCAAAAATTATAATGATAGAGCCATAGATGAAAACAGAAAAAGTGATCCGAAATAAGCACTTTATACTGTCACGTGATATCTAATTTTAATAAACGAATTAAACTTAAGGTCGTAATTTTCCTGCATCTTGTTCACCGACCAACATTGTCTTAGAGTTTAAAGCTATAAACACTCTAGCTTAACGCGATACTATAGTTTACAATCCGCAAGAGAGGATGAGACATCAGAAGTAAAAATATGTATAGCATACGCATGTTGTTCAGAATGACGTCACGTGATGTCACTAAACAATATTTTAACAAAATTTCGTTAAACAGGGAAATTCCTTAATCGCGATGTTCAAGTATCCATTTTCGTGTACAATTTTGATACCAGCACCACTGTTAACGTGTATAACGAAATACTGGCAATCGTTAATGTGCCCAGCTGTTAGTTTCAAATCTAATCACCGTATTGCCAGACGAAAGCACTTAGAATTACAATGGTCGAAAATAGAACACAATTCTCTTAGGATTCGAATTAAGCCTCGCTATTCGAATGTAGTAAATACAAGTATGTATTGTGACTTCAAAGGAAATTTGAGTTGGCACAGTTATATCCCAAATAGGAAAATGATATTTGGATGTTTGCTTCATGTGAATGCTCAGTATATTCTGAAGATATGCTCTGATAGATTTAGAATTTCTACAGCGCGTTCCAAATAGGTATATACAAATACATATAATATATTCAGTCTCCATGCGAACGTACGTATAACGTCCAAAATTCGTAAATCGTATACTGAGAAAGATACTGTTGTTTTGACTAAATTAGCGTTTACGGGAGGCAAAACAAAATTTTAATTAACAAAATAAATGTTTGATTACCCCAAACATATTTTAATCCACTGAACCCAATATTTGTTGAAGGAACCACAAATTTCATTGTACTAACTAAACATTTGGTACGTCACCAGTAAACGATATTCTACTCAATCTACCAGCCACTTTTCTCACTGTATGCATTTGTAGAATTTAACCCTTAATTTTCCTTAATTTTAATAATTCTACATTTAATACAATATTACGTCGTACATTTGCGACATTCATTTAATATGGATATAGATATACATACACGTACGTATTAATGTAATTGTAGTTTTAAGCACAGTAGGAGAGGGTACTTATTTAGGTATAAGGGAGCTTTTACACATATAAAATCACGGGCACTATTGGTACTTGACGAAATTCACTGTCAGTGCTGGGAGCATAGTTATTTCTCACTCAATTACATGCAGGTAAGCAGATAGGGCCGATGCTCATAGTACTGGCAGTAAATTTAGGAATGTACCCGAAGCTGTGGTGAAGGTTCTTTTATAGGACTGACACTGAATTGAGCCGTGCTGGCCACATTTTGGATCTATGAGTGTATATTCTCAGAATATTCTGAGAATTCATTTAACAAGTTGGCTTCCTCGAGCATCATCCGTGATTCTCAAAGTGATTTAACATTCGTATGATGGAACAACAAACGTGTTAAAATGGACATATGTATAGTCTCTGCATATGTTCAGAATGCATTAATATGTATTAAGAATATTGAGTACCTGCTTCGAATGTTGAGGACGAACTTAAGATTCTCTGAGAATATTATATGCTCTCTCTGAACCTCGTATATCCTATACTATCCTATTACTCTAATAAGTTTCTACGCTTTAAAGGAGATGGAGGAAAGTATGTGAAGGAAGAGGAGGTAGTGAATATAAAGAATATTTACACAATAGACACTAATGTAAGGGTACTTATGGCTTTCCGTAGAGAATGCTCGTAATAGCCGTGTGGGCCAGTCTATTCCTGGCACATTCGAGCAGGTTGCTTGTCGCCGGTGGTCAGCAACAGTACGCCCATCCACTCTCAGGGCAAATGTCGGTCCTTGGTGGAATGGGTTTTAGCGACAAGCGTGCCAACATGGCAGAACCATCTTGCGAGGAATTACGCGCCATGTGGAGATACAGTAAACGACAGAGCAGGGCGGCTGAGATGACTAACGAAATACCGACGTATCACGATCCGTTTTCTTACAATGTTTGGGAATCCTACATGGACAGGTCGCAGCCATCCCTAGGATATAGAGGTTAGTATTATCTTGATAGAAAATAGTATTTTAAAAATTTTAAATTGTTCATTACTTGTCAACTTACATAGACGGTTATGCTGTGGCAAGAAGTCGGGGTGCTGGGGGAGCGCCTATTTACGGTAGAGTGATCCACAAAGCACCAGCAGGTCAAAGGTTACGCACTGGTATGCCAGACAGGACAAGAGCCTTTGAGGAAGTGACTCGTCTCTACGGAACGATTAATCGTCATCCACCGTCGCCTCGTCGTCGTATGAATTTTCGCGTTGGGGGGGGATCATCCTCGTCTTTATCTCAAGTACCGCAGGCCGGAAGTTTCCAGCATCTTAAGGAGCTCATCCGCACGGAACGTGCCCGGGAATTACAGGTGACTCAACGTATCTCTTCTTAAGGAAACTGGATGGTATTAAACGCTATAAATTAACATTTATAAATTAGGAATTAATGAATTTGAAATAATTGCAGCCATATTTTTAGGAAATTTTAAAAGACTAAAAAGTTAAGAGTAACAAAACCAGCTGCACTATTTGTAATTTTTCACATTTTCAAGTGAAGTATGTGGGGCTTCATTAGAAAAAAAGAAAAAAGATACTGCAGTCAAAAAATGAAATAAAAATATTGGATTTTTTCATCATCCAGCCTCCTTAAGTTGTATTTACTCTTCAACCTCTCAGATATTCTTGTGCACTTTTTTCACGGCTCTTGTATCTGCAGGAGCAGCGCATGGCAGAGGAAATGGCAGCAAGGGCGGCAGTCTTAAAGGAAATATCTAACGGAAATCATCACAGTTCTGAGGAAGATTCACGAGGTCACTTTATGAATTCCTTGCAACCATATCAGGGCTCGAAGAATTTGAATTTCGACTACGATCAATCACGATATGTCTCCAATATTGCTAGCTTGGGTCAAGCGTTGTCAGTGAGTAAATGAAATGAAAATATCTTTAAATCTTAAATATAATGATTTTCGAATAATATTATATTTAACGTCTCTTTTATGACAGCGAGGTGATCAATACGGCCGTGGGGAGTACATGTTGCGTTAAAGGGACGCTCTTCTAGAAACGCAGTGGGGGTCGAATGTGAGGTATACGAAGCGAGTATTGCGTGAGTATATCACGTGATTCGCATCATGGCCATTTTATTATGCATTGCTTTTGAGTCTGCGGGGTTAGTCCCCGCGAAAGAGGAATAATAACTTAGCCTAAATTTGTGTGCTTGATGAGAAGGGACATTGCGTGCCATGTGTTCTCAGAATTCCGTGGCGTCCCACGCGTTCGACTCGTACACCGATTAGTACAGCCCCGCGTAATTATATATTACCGATGCTCAGAATGCATCTATGAATTGTATAGAATGTAAAATGAGATGGCACATGGCCAGATACGAAGGTGACAATAAGAGAGAAAGAGTGAGAATGGAGAGAAAGATAAATAGAGAGAGGCACTCACGTATCGAGAGCCTCGATCGACCAAGATGGCGATACCACGAGATAATATATTCAAATAATTACCAAACTTCGAACAGTTCGATACGAGAAGGCTTGATCACGATCTCAATCTCAATCAAATAGTCTCTTACATTCTCTTGATTTTATTCGTACCTATCTCAGGTACATATTCAGCTATATCTTGTAGTACCTATCGATATTATCCTAGTCATTATTTTTTTTATTATTTATAATTATAGGCAGAACCTACATGCATACTGCGTCAAGGTGCACGTCTGAAAGGAATAGTTCTTGTTGTAAGCCGCGACATTTTATTCAATTGTAACGAGTATTTAGTGAGGGTTAAAAAAAACAAGACGCGATAAGAGATTATTGAACAAAAATGAAGAAGCTCTAAGCGATAAAACTTTTATTTCAAATGGTTCCTGTTAATTTTAAGGTTAGCTCTCAGGCGCGCAACTTTATATTCATGACTTGTACTCTGATCAGTCTCTGGCTAGCGTGACGATTTCAAGATAGCTAATTGTCACTACATTAGCTCTATCAAGTAAGTCTGTAGACGCCTATAGGTTGTACCGTGTGGTAGACCGAAGACTAAGGGAAGCCCTCAGTGGATATTCGAGCATTGCTTAAGAGATTCGTAGCCGTATTTCCCTTCCGTTAACCATCCTAACCTTTAATTAACCTTTCAGCAATTGGTTGCCCTTTTAGCTCAGTTTGCTCTGATCACGAGTCACATTAACAATGCCAAATTGATTGAACGCTAAATAATTGTAATACGAAAAAGACGATTTCACACCGTTTTTTATCCCACTCATCCTTTTTCTTTCATATCATCAAAGTCTATCTAAAATACAGCTAACCCATACCTACCAGCACCATTTTGTCCCTAGAAAAATGTCTTCTTGGCATTCTATTTGAAATCGATAATTCCTCTCTGCTCGTTATGGCGTAGAACGTATGCGTGTATCTACGTACTGCTCCCTGAGTCGACCGGGCTGCCTTGACGGTAATCGACAAAAAAAATTGAACAATAACAGTAGCGACACTTATAATGTATATTTAGTAAATTTTTTAAATATATATACACATATATATATTTCACAGACATTTTCCAAAATGTAGGGATACGCAGAGAAAGCCCGCGGGCGGATTGTGGGTCCCGCGTTGTCGTATTATTCGGCACCATGCGGATCCGTCCGCGAAATCGCAAATTCTATCGTTCGATTATATTACGCAAGACAATAATAAATATTACCGTATGGTGTGCTGAACGGGTGTACGTGGGGCGCAAGACACATGAAGCCATGACCTCCCTTTCCCATCGAAGTTGTTCGTATGCTCACTCTTACTCATGTTACAAAGAAATCAAAGAAGAAACAGAATTATCTTTTGCAAAAAAAATCATAAATTATCTTCTCAATTAATTAAAAAAAAAAGAAAAAAAAATAATTTCCTCTGGAATATGGCGTTCGGTGAAGGGGGAGGATGTTTGATTGTGGCTTATATGGCAAAACTAGTGAGCTGTAAAGAACGCGAAAAATGATTGGTTCGTTTACTATGGCACAACAGGAGCACGATATAATTACAATTAGAAAATATTGATGAGATTGGAGATCTAATTGAATATTTCCATGGAATGACGAACCAATGATTTTTAATCCTTGCGTCTCATTTAAGGTAAAATGTGTCAGACAATAATATGGCTTAATATTGTTAATGGTCATTAAGCCTGACTAAAGTAACTATAAGTATTATCATAGTATTACTATATTACGCATATATATATTACATTAAGAAATATTAATGAACATTATCCGATATGAACATTCGTACATTATCGTACACGCTGTCTATCCAAAATGAGTTTGCGAACCTCGTCGATCTCAATTTCCAGGAAATGCGAGTCCGGATGCATATTGCAAAAATGAAAATCCACAAACCATTAAAATTAATTTACATAATCTTTGCTAATAATTAATGAATAATAGCAAAATAATAATTTACCTAATGAAAGCGTCGATACTTATAAGGAGAACTTGTACTGTATACAGGCACGTTGTTCTTGTTTTCTTTATGTAATATTATTTATTGTGATTACTGTTAACTTGCAATTATCACTATTGCCATTTTGATTGTATGATTGCCGCTGAGATACGGAGAAGAATAACTTTTGTAACAGATATCTATACACATACACATGCATTGGTATACATAAATGTATACAGATATTATATATAGATCCTAGCGTAAACGTGTTCGATCATAATATTACGGCTACACTATGCAATTCAATTTGTAAACGATCAGGACATCCTCTTAATGCACTCGAAATCTCTGAGGATTTCTGCAAATACTAACAGACTTACACTTGACTGTTGCTTCAATTTGCCACTTCGAGTATTGCCACATGAGTACGGCTTGTAATGTAAATTGCAATGAATGGTAAATCGCGCGTTTTAATTCGTCTTTCAGTAATCTATACGTTTTGCAGACATATAAATTGGGTTAAATTATTTGTGACCTGATTGACATTAATCGAATCCGAATATAATTACACGTCATAATCATGTGTTCGAGAAAGGGAAGCCGTAGGGTCTGTGATATTGTTTGCAAATATCCTTTGACAACTCGTGCATAAAACTACTGATCGTAATCCGACAATAAAATGATTGTATAAAATGTTTTGATTAGAATGAGACTAAACACGGCATGGAGGCGCAATTTATCATGTACTCGTGCGTAGTCTCATATTCTGAATTAGAGTCTTGGTGCCGTGTATCGCATTGGGCCTTTTTTTTAGGTATTTCCTTATAAAACTCTAGTCTACTGACTGCATATGCATTTAATTAAGGTAATTTTCTGTAATTCTGGAAAAGAGAGATCATCCGGCAGATACGATCATGATTCCGATACCTATATGGAAATTACAGAAAAATACAAGCCGAAGCATTGACAATAATTAATATTAAAAACACTTTTAATGTTATACATTAGTATTAAGGAGCATTGTAATCTTCAAGTCAAGTAATCGTATTATTACTTCTCTTTATCCGGGAACGATCTTTCAATGAGCCTACTACATTAATTCGATAATTTTTAATTAATGATTTTGATCTCGTCTAACGTCGTTTTACACTGACTTATTGCGAATTCTCCGTTAAGTCTATGCCGGATGCTTAACCATTTCGTCAAGTTTAAAATCGACACTGCATTTCGATCCCTTCGAAATTCTTACACGGTCGTTTGTGCACGTAAAATGTTTCAACATGTTTAATAGTAAATTTTACGATAACTCCTGAGAACTTCCGTTTCCGTTTGATGGAATCTTTACTGATTGGTTAGAGCAACGATGCTATTTCCCAGAGCCGTGTTCGATTAATTTAATTATATATAAATCAACATTGGAGATTAGATATGTTTCAAAAGGGGACCGAGATGGAATGGAATTTTGCAGGAAAACTAAATCGCAGATGAGGTACCAGTAACATATTTTATTACTAGTTTGAGGCTCATGGAGTTTTTCGACTTCAAATCTGTCCTTCGGTATCTTCTGTATGAAACAAAAATGTTCGATCAAAGGCTATAAACGTAAGTAAAAGGAAATGAAAAATGATGAAAAAACGTAAAGCATGAAAAAAAACATTAAAAGACTCTCGCTATACTTCTGCACGGGTTGAAATACTCGGCTCTATCGTGCATCACATATCGTATGATTGATTATCAATATACGTAACTGTATAACTTATCCGCGTCTATTAATGCCAATGGTGTGAAATAGCGATATCCCGATACGAAGTCCAATCATGGATATTAATTAAATGACAATGACAAGAGATATCCGAAGTACGTACTGGTACACTGATAACATAAGGAATTGTCAAGAAACGTCATGATTGTAGAAGACAATAGAATTTATTTAACATGACAATAAACATATCTTCCGTTATAATTAATACTTGGGGGTTATCGCTATTTCAACTGCGGAACGTACTGACGTGTAATATCAAGACTAATATCAAAGGCTACTTAGTTGAATCTTTAGAGGAGATGTGGTAAATAATCTACTGAAATATTCTAAAAAAGAAAAAATGAAGTGGCTATTTAAATGTGTACATGTACATATATGTGTCTGAGAACATATAATATGGAATTCAATTGGTTCTCTTTTCATGCGTACTAACAGATTTTATGACAATAATAAGAACAATAATAAAGAGAATCTTGCTACGCATCAGAAAGTGGATATATAAATATACGACGAGACTTGTATCACTTGACTATTAGTCCTCGTCGTTTAATATAATGTTTATATAGTTTAGTCCGTTATAAAAAAAAAAATAACCAAGAAAGATCCTATACAAGGGCAGGCATACAAGCAGGAACAACATGAAGTCAATATTACAATAACTAATTAAAACTTAAGCTATGCGATTCGGCTCACTTAATTATTACTTACCTCTTAGATAATCCACGAGCAACATCCATCATTTGATAATTCTTCATACTATTAACGCCGCTATGTAGATTCAAATTACATATGGCGCCTTGCAGACTAATGGAAAATTCTAACAACTATGTATGTATATCTTCTAAGCCGCTTTATTTAGGAACAAGGGCTTTTATCCAGCCTATGATTCACACTGTCCTTGTTCGCACACTGTTATCAGTTCCCCAGAAACGTGACAATAATAAACGCATGGATGGAGCCTAATATAGAAGGGACAAAGCACGATAAGGAAGCCAAGAAAAGAAAGAACAAAAAAAAACAGATTTCGGTCAATACCGAAATTCATGTTTAAATATATTATCTTCTAATTACATTGAAACCGCGAGAAAATGTGACGCAACGCTGCATGTCCAACTTTGATGGAGTTGTTTATCTACATAATGTCAATTTTCGTGTTTACGAACATTAAACGTGGCAGGGGTGCTAGAGATTGTTTTGCGGGTAACAAGGATTGGATGTGGATATGGGTGTTAGTCAAAGAGTTTGGTAAACGGACGTCTAGTGTTAAAGAAATGTCGGTTCTATCAAAATGACACTTAATTACTAAAATGTATAAACTTCTCCTGTTACAGCCTGTAATACGATTATTGTAATGCAGTATAGAGCCTAACGTCTAGAAAATATGTCAGAACAGTCATTCCAATATTTTTCCTCCTTGGAATATTAATTACAAAGCTGATTCAGATTATACAACTACACGTTATGGTTTAATTAGATCAAAAGCGTTTATCAGGACGATCCATATCCTATGGGATAATCTGGTGCTACAATTACTAAGAGATGAACAAGACAACGGTGGGCATTATGGGTGTATATATATATATATATGCAAATAAATATTTCAAAGGGCAGCTTTCCGGACAATTTTAAATATGGAATGATAGTTGGGTAAGCGCGTTTAGAGTCGGTCCTAAAATACTTTTAAGACAATTTTGAAGACCACAAGCAAGCTTTCATAGCTTCACCGAACTATTTGTATTAGTCGAAAAACTAGACTTCTGGTTGGTCAAAAGCGTTCCTCGTAAAAGATTTAGCCGGTGAAGAGATAATTTACTCGTGCGTGTCGTAGAACACATATATGATGAAGGTGTCCTAAATTGACGCTCACACCAAATTTCCAACATTATTCCAAACTCTACTCATCCCGTACTAAGCTTAGCTCAATTAACCTTTCGTTTGGTTAATTTGGATTAGAATGCAAATGCTAAGTACTACAGAGATTAAAAAAGTATCGTTATCCGACGTGCATGAATATTGCTCTATACATGATACCTAAGGTGCAAAAACTGCCCTTTGACAAGTTTATATATATATATATATACGTATACAATCATATATAATATATATTATATCATATGTATCGGTGTACAATATTTGACTATATTTTGTTTTTAAATATATGTCTATCATCGATCAGACGTTTCCCTCTGCACAATCTTCTTTGTATGTTATTTAAAAAAAAAAGGAAGAAAATGAAAACCTTATTTCCCACTATTTTTTTTATATACTTATGACAACAACAAAATAATAATGGAAAATTAAGAATCTCTAAGAAGCTTTATTGAATCTGTATCACTGTATTTACATCATTGCAATACACATTCAGAGTTTTATGCAAGTGTTTACGGGTACGGCGATATTTTAAAATTTATAAAATTGCCTAATTACATTGCTCTAATCGACTTCACCGAAAACTAATTTATTTAATATGTACAACGATTTAAAAAAAAAAGAGTCGCCATATATTGCGAAAGGCTGGAAATATTTACAGCGGGCGCCTATCCATTGATGGGAACCGCAGTATCTGAACCCGGTACAGTAGATGCTTTTAAAGTATGTCCTACACGAATACATTATACAAAATTAAACATCTCTATCTCAAAAACAAAATCTTTTCTCGGATGGGAGCCAATGTCACCAAGAATTCATGACATTAGTTTATCCCCATATCTCCGGCATGACTTTTACTTCAAGAAAGGTCACGGATGCTATTCTCACTAGTATAACGATAAACAACGGTCACTTGTAATATTCAAAATCCATTAGATTACATAAAAATTAATGCTTCCCGTTTGTGAATGTTTCGCGAAGTGCCACGCGAGTTCCACCTCATTTTACGAACTTTCGATCATTTTGTTGTGTTGTATAGGTTGGTATTCCGTGTCAAGAGAAGAGAATGCATAGGTCAGACACCATTAGAGGTCGGTGGATTAATTAAGGGTGGTCGTAGTAAATCATGATATTGCATCAGAGCTTCTCGGAGTGAACGGGATACTTGACCAGAAGCTGTAGCGACTGTACATTCGACAAGACACGGATACAGTCCTATCAGTTGTTCCCAAACTGAACGTTCTACTGGAAATCAATTCGTTGAATTAGTTTTACGATTCAATTATTAAAATATTGACATGTTTGGAATATTATTTTTTATCTTTTTTATACCTTTATTTGGTGGTGCCTTCTTCAGAGACACCACGAGTGTTGCAACGGCTTTCAGGACAAATGATATCTCGGACAATCTGTACCTAGAACACGGTTCTATGATCAACGCTCGCACGAAAATGTTTTGTAGGCGTCTGTAATCGAGGTAAGTTGAGTACATGAAGAATGCAAAGAATGACAAACATTACCTAGGCAATGGACATTTTCCACTCCGTCTTTCGTCCTCTATATATCGTCGTAAGACCTCCTGGAATCTATGAAGGAGGGCAGTTACAGCTAATCTACCAGCTACTCCTCCTTCGTCAACTTCTGTTTTTCTGTCATTGTCGTTTTCTGCTTCATTACTGAGACCATCCAATAAGGAGAATTGCAGAAGAGTTTCAAAACAAGTTTTTGCAAATTCTTCTCTGAGTTTAGTCTCGCCTGCCTTTTCTATAAAACATTTTCAATTGTGATGTTGTGCAAAGTAAAAAGAAGACCAATGGCCTACCAATACTAGTAGTAGTCGCTGAATGAATAGATCCTTTGTTTAAAAGCATGATAACTCTCAGAATAAATTGATGAGGGATATGTTGGGAATGCGGTAGTACTTCATCTCTTAATAGCTCCATTACTTGACAATCGACTGCTTCATCTGCCTGAATTTCCTCAGCTCCTCGTTCTATATTTAGCACACTACCCACAATATAAAATTCGTTGTAGATATTTTTTTTTTCAATAGAAACAGGACTTATAGATATATTATAGAATGATGGATACCTCTTAGGAAAAAGAAAATCATCCAATGTGTCGGCGAGCTCAGGCCACATACTCTTAAATTGTTCTGGATATTTTCTCGCTAATGGTAAACCAGTATGTAGTACAGCCAAAAGACTAGTGACGGCTAATTTCCAAGTAGTAGGAGATGGACAGGAATACTTCATAGACAAAGGAACGTGAAGGGCCTCTATGACATGTCTTAAAACTTGACCGTCAATTACGGCCATTTCATGTGCAGTTTTCTGATAAAGATTCACAACCATAGATAGAGCCTTCTCTCCAAAGGGAACATAATTCATTGTCACCCAATCAGCCTGAAGAAACAGAACTTTAAATGTAAATAATGCTTTTTGTTATGCTGATGAGGGACACTTACAGATATTCCTTTGATTTGAGAGATTTGTTTTGTTGGAATTTTTCCATATGTCGGTGCCTGACATGCTAATTTCGAGAAGCTAAGTAACTGCAGAAATATGGAAACTATCATTGTTCGTAAATTCTCTGAGCCGTTTAATGCTTCCTATAACAGTAATTCGATAATAAGCTACAGACAATTCTTCAAAGTAATAAATAAATTGATAAATGATATACTAACCTTCTGCAAAAGTTCCATTGAATGAAGAATACCGTCTTGTAATTGTGTAAGAACAACATCTGGCACCGCAGGCAAAATATACGGTGTTGATTCACCGTGTACAGGAACTGCTACTGCATTTTTTAAAACAATGCATAATTTTTGAAGATCCGCTGCAGTGAATCTATTAATACAAATTTTGAATATGTACACAGTTCGTATCAATGTTTCTAACATGTTTATAATCCTCATTATCAGTGACTCACTTATTTCTAATATGCTGAAATACGGCTGGAAATATATGCACAAGGGCTGTTAAAAAGGCCTGTGAAGGGACATAAGGTTCTGTTTCACTCTCTTGCGGTGGAGTAGTACTTTCCATTCCAATACTAAGCCAAACTCGCCAAGCAACAACCCATAGTGCTTCTGAATCAGCAGACTGCGCAACGTCACCGTTGTCGCCGCCCTTTTGCAAGTATAAAATTTCTTGGAATGATTTTAGAGCCGCTAACGAAACCTACGAGAATTTTGCATTAGCATTCAATAGAAAACAGGAATAGTGATAAATAAAAATTTATTGTTTGGTACATACTTCATTGTTCTTACTAAGAGCCGAATTTTCAATGAATTCAAGTAGCAGAGACCACGCTCGTGGGAAGTCTCCCAATAGCTGTAACAATTGTCGCTTTGTGTTGAAAACCCTTGCCACTCCGCTTAACGTCAATACCTATGAAATGTAATTAACATATGTATATTTATTCACTTTCAGATTTATGACTAATATTTGATGGAATGATCAAAAGAATACATATTTTATTAACCTGCGTTTCAGCCCACTGTTTTTGAGCAGTGTTGCGACTATGGTGTATCAATATGTTTCCACCAGTATCAACCTTTTCGCTGCTTGCTGAGCTAGACAGACTTCTAACTTTATCCAACAATGGAAAGAGCACTTGCCACAAAACGGCTTGCCAAGTTGGCTGGTGTAGAAGTCCACCATGAGCCGAAATGGTGGAGAATAAAGTTTGACTGGCGGATTTGCGTACGGCAGGACGGGAGTCCACGCATAGATCACCTAAATTCGTAAGATTGAAAAAAAATGGATATAATCAGGAACAACTATGTCTAAAATAGAAAATATAGAGTCTATCTTCTACCTAGTCGAGCATAGAGACACATCCAAAGCTTATCGAACGGCGGCATATTAGTTGTGCCAGGAAAATCAGGAAATACAGAGGCTGAATCTCCTTGAAGGGAAGCACAGAGCTTCTCTTGATTTTGATAAAAGTAATCGCTTATATTCCACTGAAAAGGAGTTTTCGTGATTATTTGATTATCTTGAGGTTTGTCACTCGTAGTCAGAATTCTTTGCAATGTACCATTAAACCAACTGCCGTGAGAGAGATATTTAATTCTTGCGTTTGTGATCCAAATTTTGCAGCAGTATCAACGCACAGGGGAAGGCACCGCCAAGGCATTATTGGTAAAAAATCTGTTACTACCAATTGTAAGCACTGAAATGCTATGCGAACTAGATTCTCTCTATGAACAAACGAACATATTTAAAATATTTAGTCATTCATGATTCGATAATATTTGCCATATTTTAATTTATAGTAATTACCCATGATGATCAGACACTGCTCCTATAATACCAAGTACAAGAGGCCATCCGTGGGATAGTGTCTCTCCGGCACCATGAAGAACTTGTAATACGCATTCGAGTTGCCGTTGCCTTACGTCTCCATGACGTACAGAAGATAATTCAGATAATGGTCCCAGTAGAAGAGTTTGTAATTTCTGCCGAACAAATAATTTGATCTAACAGAGGACATTTATAAAGGCAGGAGAATTTGTTTAGTGCAATACGTACTTGATTATCGCGAAGAGGCTGAGGATACTTATGTTGCAGTGCTGCCTTAACTAAATATGTGATAGCTTCTACACCCCATTCTCGCATTCGAATATGAGGATGTTGACAGACTTCCAGGAGATGATTTGTCAATGGTCTCCAGAGAACTTCGACTCTTGGTAGATTAACCAGACCCGTTTCTAAAAGTTTTGCTACAGCAAACAGAGACGGTTCCTAAAAATATCAAAAATTGAAAGCTATGTAGACATAATAAGCTACAACGGAGCAAAATTATTAATTTGAATTACTCTATTGGAATAAGCCAGTTCCATTGCTTCCTGACTAAGTTTGCATAGTGCGTCGATCAAATGATGTAGTGCCACGTCATCGAGATATTGACTGCTCTCAAATAGTCTACTAAGCATAGCACTGAGTACAGGCAAGTCTGCCATAACAGCTGTAGTTAATACTGCATTGGAATCCGCAGTAGATCTTCCTGCTTTGAGGGATCCTCCTGTGGATGGTTTCAAACCAAGTATCCAAACTAGATGTTGTAAAGTCGTGAGAACAAGATGCCAAGCACTGCCCAGTATACTTCCATGACAATGGGCTAAGGATAGTAATGCCCGCATGCACTGTAAATTCTTGGCCGTTAACATTACAGGTCCTTGCTGAGCACCGATCGGCAATGAGGCTGTTGGCAATGGCGTACCAACGGCAACAACTTGCTGTCGGAAATCGGGCTCGCCCATTGCTGCGGGATTGTACTGTGTCGATTCTTGAGTTCGTGCACTTGGTATTCCTTGCGGAGCGCTATATAGAACTGTTAAAGCGTAGTGAGGTGGCAAAGATGCTTTACAAATAGCCGTAATGAATGCGTCACGTGGTGTCTGTAAATCAAGTAACCCACAAAGGGATGCGAATGTTTGAATCGCTTTTAAAACATTCTCTGTTGCTGATTCATCCGTGCTGAAAGTTAAAAATACTTTTGTGATCTGAATTACCCGAAAACTCTACAGGAAGTTATTGCTGTTGTGAAATTACCTGGCATCTACCAATGGACTTAGAGCTGCCAATAAACCACACCAACTTGAATTTATCAGCTGCGTGTGAAGTTTCCGTTCAGAATCCGTTGGCTCGTAATGATTTTCTTTCCCTTCTTCACGTGGACCCACTATTGCAAGAGCAATTGATCGAATAATATCCAATAAGCAAGCATAAGCAATGCTGATTCCATACCCATCGGGAATTTGAGGAGGCTCAATCTTGTCCAGCATCTCTAAACTGTATCGAATAAATAGGACATCAGCTGTGAAGTTCTGTTTAAAACTTCTTTATAGTAGTGAACAAGTATTTCTGTTAACTCACTACGTAGATTTGGCCTGTCCGCTGGTAAACGTAGCAACAACTGGCAGCCATGTACCTCGTGAATAGAAGCCAGGTTGTGGAGATACTCCAGGCCCGATTGGCATACCTGCCAATAACGTCGGCGCGGTGCCCTGTGCCACTGGCGCTCCAGTTGCTATATAAGTCATTTTGTAAGTCTATTTGTTAATATAAGAAAGTATATGTACCTATAGCCTTGTTCAAATTGACAAATGTATAATTGAGCGTTTCTATAATTCCATTTACCGACAGTGGTTAAGCTGATATTACCAATGTACAACGGAAAAACAAATGTGCATCAATTATACACTTTGTAGTTCATTCGAATATGACTATACATATATATTTATCTCATTCAAGATACCTGTACCAGTTTGTCCCATCATCTGTGGATTGACAAAGAGACTGTGGACATAGGCACCAAGACTATTTACTATATCCTGGAATATGTTCGTAGCGTGGGGCTTTAAATCATAACATTCGCAGAAACTTGTGAGAAGATCAGCTTGTACTGTCATCTTGTGCAAAACTTCTAAAGCCAATGCTCGTTGCCATGCTGGTTTATCAGGATCCAGAAATTTAACGATCAGGGAAAGAAATATCTCGCATTCGGTCACCTGCAGATATTATTTATCATACATTAAATAAGGATTAGGTGAAATGTTTGTATAGTTCTTTCTATGATTTATAAATATGTTATGCTCACCAGAAGAGAATGATACTTTTGTACCAGTATCGAGACGACTCTCAACAGTCTCATACTTATAGGAAAGTACGGTTTGTCAAGCGGCGTTGCTTGTTGCATCGAGGCTGGTATAGAATTGCGATATTTGATATTGGGAGAGAATAACTTTATTACGAGAGCGCATACTCGTTCTTTTAAAAGAAAACTAAATTCAGGATGCTGAAAATAAAATTGTAAAATGCAGTAAATTGTACTAAGGGAACTGAATAACTGTATTGTACTGTACAATTGCACTGAAATCTTCACCTTAAAGAATACAGATGAAAAATTGGTTAATACAGATTCTAACAACTCCAATCCAAAAGTTCTAGTCATTTCAGTAATTCCGATTAGCCAGTATGGTTGGTCTGCATTGACAAGCTGCACCAAATCCTGATAGAAATATATCGAATTTTATTGTTTATTCTCAAAAAAAGATATTTAAGAAAACAATACCTGAAACATCAAAAAAGCATCAGCAGCACAAGGGCCAAGACCCTTTGGTGCTTGATTCATAGGTATCTTCAGTTCTTCTAAATTGACTTCATTGAATTCAGCTTGATCAGGATTCTGTTCATCTTCTACGACGACACGTTCAAAAACTAACGACACTAACTGCCTTACGGTGGCACCAGCTGTGTTAATAGTTGTGGAGTCTTTTGTAAAGTGAAGTCGAAAGCAAAGGACGAGATTCTAAAATGAATAACCAATGGAATAGTATTCCTGGTAAAATGTAATACATCCTTAGTTTGTTTTTCAATCTTACTCTGGCAAGAGTATCTCCATGTACTACTGTGTTACTTGTAAGTAACAAAGTAACACTCTGAAGGACTTTAACTTCCTCAGTACCAGATTCCATTAACATCCACAAAGTATCAGTAATATACCGTGCACCTTTCTGATCTACAGCTTGCTGAGTTATGAGTCGTTGCATCATTCCTAAACAGAACTGAAGAAAAATTTCCAACTGAGAAACTAAGCCATATTAGAGATAATCGACACAATTAAAAAAATACAAAAATCTTCACCTTAATGATTTTTACATCTTTACTCTCACAACCTTGGACCAGGGGATAAAGAATTTGATTCACAATATAATAAATTGGAGTTCCAGGATTGTTTGAAGCTGTTCTTATCTTTGCTATTCCTTCTTCACATGACTGAAATAAAAAGTATATATTATAAAAATAATTATTATAATGTAATAAATTGAAATAAACAGACTATCTGTAAAGTTTATATAAAATCATCCATATCAGCAATAACCAGTGGAAAATAATTTCTAAGGTAAGCCTATAGCAATAGCAAGTCAAATTTTGAAATAATTATTAATATTTTAAGATAGAATACATATATTTTAAGGAATTGAAGTTAGAGTAATTAATATATATTTCAATTAAAAAGAGTGAGCCTTTTCACACAGTGTGGTAAAAAATAATTATATTACTTTACCATTAAATATTAGACATTGACAAAAGAATATCATTTCAAATTCATTATCTATCTAAACTAAATATCAGTCACTGAATATATATCAGTTAAAAATTAATTGTTAAAGAAAAATATAATCATAAAATACTATTTCCACTAACTATCAACCTATCACATAATATGCAATAAGATAATCTCTTAAGGGGTGCAAAGTCAAAGGTATTGAACAAAATGAATAACAATTTCTTAATGGACAAATAAAAAATAAAAACCAGAAGTATTAGTAATTCAACATGCTACAAATGTTCCAGGAATAAAGGAGGTCACAGAATATAAAATGTTCTCACGCAGTCATATGGAAAACAACCAGAATCTATGAATTAAAACTTAAAATCATAGATCACAACACCCCTAGGAGTCTATAATCTATAGACCATAAAGACGAGCCAAAAAAGACAGACACATTAGAGTACAGTATAAAATCGTGGCTGACCTCTTTGATTTGAGGATATTTCTTCTTGGTCTCTGAAGCAAGGACTTTTAGATCGGCTTGCAACAACTCGAGAAGCTTGGAAATGTTTTCCTGATTACCCACGACGGCTGAACTCGCCATCATTACTCGTTACTTCTAATTTGTTATTATTTACACCTTTGTGCTTTAGCACTGCCCCATGACAAGTTAATACGCGATTATCCGACGTACTATTTATCAGGTCGATCTTAAGCGCCACAATAACAGACGTCAGGCACAGTCTTCATGTTCATTATCACAAATGACAATCGACTGATCGCGATACATCGGGCTAGCCCTTTAATTTTGACACTATAAGTTTTATCGCAAAAATCTCACTGCCACGTCAAAGTTTTCGGCTATATCAGCGGATAGCTCTTCCTCTTTCCCCCAATTTCATTCCATCTGATACTTGCAGTTTACAGATACTTGTCACAGTTGTCGCTTGTGTCACCGCTACCGAGGAACAGGAAGTAAGATTAGAGAGGAGATGAAAGTGTTATACGTCCGAATGATAATGGCGCCAGTCATAGTCAGTAGTGTCTGTTACAGCCACTCATAGTACAAGTGTTCCAAGGTAAGTAACTGATGATTGGCTGGCTAATCCGCGAGAAGAAAAGGAAAACATTTTACCATTAGCTCTTTTTCAAGCTCCGTTGCGTGTTATATCATCATTCATTTGCATGAGTGGACACAGTCATACTAAAAGTATTGACAGTGAAATTCAGAACGTACTCTTGATATTTGGAGTGTGTTCCGAAAGTTTCTGACAGTACTGTAAAAGTAATTACATCTCTCTTAGATGTGTATGGATGAATAAGGACACAGCGTTAGTAAAATTTTAGTTCCAATCCCGGCGGGTAGATGGCGCCCTGAAAATCCCAATGTGGACACCCGACGTCATGACACGGCATCGTGTAAACGCGCCTGAAATTAGATCACGCCGCAGCCTCACCGCTAGAAGGGGGGTAGCTGTGGACACACGACGTTATCATACGGCATCGTGTAAATGCGCCTGAAATTAGAGCAATAATAGAAACGCGCCTTAAGCCAGGGCATCGTGTGAACGCGCCCTATGAAAAAGCGACGCTACGCCTCGCGTGGCGTCAATAGCCAGTAGACAATGGCCAGTAGTCAGTAGAAATGGTTCCTATTCAACGTCAGTAAGCAATATGTTTGCTTATACGCTAATTATTTAAATGGATCATTTGTCTGATGTTGTTATCGTCGATCGTAGTACAGGTCTACTGGGGACCCGCTACGATAAATAATGGGAACGCATCGACTACGGCACCTCTTGGGTGACGTGGAAGCCCGTAGATTATCGTTGTTGATGCCTTTATTATAGTAAAGTAATAAATAAAATTAGAAAAAAATTGATATTTGGTTCGATTTTTTTTACCTTCAGCGTGCAGCCCGTACAACGTTTGAGGAGGTTGGAGCGCTCACGCCGGTCAAATCAGTGTTAAATTTTTAGTAATCGTTTTTGTAAATTTAATGTATTATGTAATATTGGTCAGATAATATTATTGTAAATTCATCGCTCTGAATTTTTCTATGGGAATTTTTCTATCTGAATTTTTTCACTGCAATCAATTAATTCATAAAACTTCGTAAAAACGATAAAAAATATTGAGCACTGATTTGACCGGCGTGAAGCGCTTCAACCTCGTTAATAGGTTGTATTTAAAAAAAATCATAACGTCCAGAAGAAGAAAAAAAAAACTTCCGACGGAGAGTCGTTTTTGTAAATTTAATGT